TACCTCACACCAAGCGTGCACTTCGACCAAGTCCCTGGCACGGCCCAACGGTTTTTACAACGGACGAAAAAGAATGGGAGAAGCCACGAAAAGATCTAACTGAACGACGACGTGCAACGTGTGTCGACCATCGTCGTTGGGACGCCTGTTGGCATTGCACCTGCCAAGAGTTCGTTCCAATGAATGCTCGCCACTACCTTTATTTCCAGTACCAACACATAGCAGTGTTTATTTATTCGTCGTTCCTCAACTACGGAGAAGAATTATTTCTGCCAAAAGAATCGTATACAGGCGTCGTGAAAATATTTGATTTCCGATATTGCACTTGTTGTTCCTCTACTTGTTTCTTCCTTGAAAGAAGAGGAAAGTAAATCGTTGCACGAGATTTTTCTAAAGATTATGTCAATGTCCTCGAGATGAAAAGTATTTTTCTCATAGAAGAAAAGAACTGAAAGAAAATATATAAATTTTTTTTTTTTTTAGGAAATTTTAGATTAATCTTTCGAAGATAAAAGTTGTTTCGTTATATAATTTAGAAATTATAACGAAAGGAGAATGGTTACATGTGAAATGGTTACGATAAAATAGATACTAAGGATATTAATTACAAACTATTCTTAGATAAAGAGGCTTCGTTACCGCGGAACTGGCTCTGTCTACGGAATGATATTGTGGTATTACAGCTGATGACTGTAATTCACATCAGCATGACCTACTTTTCGAACGCGTAGAATCGAGGAGGATCAGTTTGCAGCCAGGCAAAAGTGGCTGGCTGACTTTTAGTCACGTTAATAAACTTCTTATCAATTTGAACAAGACCGGAAAAAATAAAAGTCACGAATTATTTCGAATTCTCACGAACGATTAAAGTAACGATATTCGCCTCCTCAAATTACGGCGACCTTTGTCACGTGTGTTAAACACGAAATATGAACAGGAATATTTTTCACCCGAGTTCTCAATTTTTAGCACAATGTCTTAGAATAGTACGTGCATAAAGAACACGTTGGTTTAAAATAAATTGTGACGCAAACCGATCGATCTATCAATCAATCTTCAAACAGGTATCGCAAAGAGGAACTTGTTCGTTTTCTTTTGACGGTCGATTTCCCCTTAAAAGCTCCGAACAGACGTAGACAATGATCGAACGTAATCATGGAACGTTTAATTCATGGTTATCGAATATTGATTAAAAGCGTTTAATGCACTTTTGTTACGAGCACAAACACAATGAAAGTTCGATTATTAGGGAAAGTATCCTCGCTATTATCATCAATTATTGTAGGTAAAGAATAGAAGATAAGTTCGATTACCACCAGCCTATGAACAATTCATAATGATTGTAATATATATATATATCTAAACTATATTTTAGCCGTTTATAGACACATGCTTTTTTCCAACTTGGTTGAAGTACCGTCAATTGTACCAGGTGTATGAAGCAAAAGTGTAAATTATGGATTTACTTTAATAAAAGAAATCTTGAAACCTTCAATCGTATACCCCAGTATACCCTACTTTGTAAAGGCGAAGAAGGGATACCTGATGGAGGGTACTTTTTACATGATTCGATCGATGCCTTTTCTTAGGGAAAATATTGTCCCAAATCTATATGTATACTTGGATCTTTATAAGCAGATGTATATCTACACGAAAAATCGAATCGATCGAGAATCCCTATGGTCGGTACACAACCGCAGAGTAACGAGCTATGAAAAATTCGTGTATTTCTCATAGGTTACAGACTATAGAGTGGTTCGACGTTGAAATAGTAAAACGAGAAAATGTATATGGAGCAATTGAACGAGATAGAGCAAGATGAGAGATATGATGCAGATAATCTACAGCAGGTGAATGACGTCAAAATGCGAACCGTGACGTCAGAAAGTAACCTGAATATGGGATTCCTCGTGTCAAGAGTTTTCGTTCATTTCTTGGTCTTTGCCCGGATTAATTAAATTTTTGATGAATTCATTTTGATGTTTCATTTCTTTAAGGATATCATATAAGACATTTAATTCTGCTTTTTAGTTTTAATTCAAGCATGATTCCATAAGATATTCCAAAGAATATTTTTATGAATGAATATATTCTTAAACTTGTTCAAACCTGATCGCTTTTCTTCTGAAAAAGAAAGAAGAGAGATATTATTTAATCTTCAAAATTGATTCAATTGATTTTTGAAAATATGAAATTGTATTTTTTCATTAAACTTATGTAACTTGAACGATAACGAGCTAATATCTCGGAGAGGTTATAAAAATATCTATAAAAATATTTATATGAACATGAAAGATTGAATTTCCATGAAACTGTATCATGGGAATGCAAATATGTGTTAAGAAATTAAGCTGCAAACAGATCGTTTCGCTATTTTTACGGATCACTGTGACGTCAGAAGAAGATAGGAGAGCAAAGCGGGAATTTGAATGTTTGGATTATCCAAGAATCCAGAAGGCTCGTGGACCAGTTCAAAGGAAATTGGGCTGTTGTAAAGACAAACAGGTTTGTTTGTCCTCTCTAATCTGGTTATTATCATCGACACTCAATTCAATCCTTGCATCCAATTGAAAACTCTGTAACTTAAAAAAAAAAAAAAAAAAAAA